ACTTACTAAACTCAGAGGCAAACACCGCTGCTCACTTAGCAAGGTTATTATTTAAACAGAATAAACACAGTTATAATGGAACCTTGCTTGGTTCGAGAAACAGATGGTTTTATGGTCTCTATGCATTCCTGGCTTATCGCATCGGCTATCAGAGAATGAAATGGTGGTTTATGGCTCAGCCGTTCTGTGGAGAGAAAAGAGTCAGGTTGAGGCTGGAGGTGACCTGCGGGAGGGAGAAGGGGTCAGATCGCCCCCTTTCCTGTCCTGTGGACTGTCTTTAGTGACACCTTTACGGTTAGAAAGGTTCACTAAGGCTCTTTGAATACACAATCCTTAAGTGATTCATTGTCTGATTGAGTCTCTTTCGGTCCTTACCAAACACCAGGCGATGTCTCTGGTTTTTACATGTGAAAAGGTCAGCTCTCGGGGAGGGAAACTTCCCTCCCTCTTTTGACACCATCTGACCTTCTTTGAAGTGCGTCTGGTTGAGTTCACAACAACAGTGACACAATGCAATGCACTCACGACACGGGAACACCGCTAGCTCACTGACAGTGTGTGTGTTCCTAAAACACACAAACACATTGTCAACATATTCTCAACCGAACCAGCTGACTAGCTGCGACGGCATGAGTTGAGCTAACGCCAATCTAGATCAGATATAGCCGGAGAGATGCAACCAGACAACAGGTCTCTTCCAGTGGTGCGGCGCATGGAACTTTATCACAGTGAACAGCGGCTCATTCTCCGAGCAGCAGCTCGCTGCAGTGGAGAGGAGGATGCCCTGTCCTGACTCAGCATCACTCGGTAGCTGTGTTGATATTGACTGCTCCACTGACGACATGCTCACGGTGACACTGTTGCACGTTGTTGCTGTCATTGGAGCAGCGAGCTGTGGTACGTTCAAGGACACCACGGATCAACAGACAGTGGAGTATTCAAGGACACCACAGAGCAGCAAGCTGTGGTGTGTTCAAAGACACCAGGGAGCAACCGGCCCTGGTGCTTTCAGGGACACTATAGCCCGTTCACCTTCAGCCCCCCCTTGGGCTAAACTTCCATTTATGGAAAGTTTGGCGGTGGAGAGTGCCGAAGATGCGTTGTTCACATGTACACATTTTCATGGAGAATGGCGATGCCGCTGCACGCTGACAAGCTGGGTGGACAGCATTTTGAGACCAGGCTACTCTCTTTAGTTCATACCACCAGTTTCCTGGACATAATGGAAGCCAGTCTATCCTCTCAAGAGGAAGTGGACTTCCTGGCCGCCGAGATCCAGCAACTTCTGCTGAAGCAGGCTGTCTTAGGGCATCTTTGCGCATGACATGCACAGAGGTCTTGCACCATGTACTTTTTGGTCCCCAGAAAAATTCCATTCTGGATCTCTGCCACCTGAACCAGCATAATGGACAAGAGGGCGTTTCCACATGCTGATAATCAAGAAAATGCTGGAGCCAGTGCTGCCCGGCAACTGGTTCACCGCCATCGACCTGAAAGACGTCTATTTCATGTTGATTTGACACAGTAACAGGGAATTTCTAGGCTTCTCCTCTCAGGGGTAGCCTACAAATACATTAGGCTCCCCGTCAACTACTCGCTAGTCCCCCACATGCTCAGCAGATGCATCGCACTGCAATCGTTGCGCTAGAAGGGCATGAGTGTTCCTTTCTACTCATGACTTCATGGTCATGGAGAGATTGAAGCCTTGAGTGATCTCCACACAGCCCAGTTGATTTTGCACCTCAACAGCCTGGGGTTGCAATCAATTGGGAAGAGAGCTCCCCCCAGCCGCTGCAGCGAGCGGAGTATCTGGGGATTGTGCTCAACTGCAACACTCCAAGAGTGTATCTGTGCGCGTCGTTTGGTGGTCCACAGGCTGTTCAGGGGAGTGCAGTGAGTGTTGTGATCCGTTTTCTCTTTCCTGCAAGGTCTGATGGAGAAGGGGCTGTCGCGCTGCAGCTATCTCTCCTGTCACTCTCCTGTTTGGTGACAGAACAGTCTTCATCCACTCACTCGTGATAGCTTTCTGCAGGGTGTGAGAAGACAGTGACCGGTGTCGTGTCTCCCAGAGCCTCAGTAGGCCTTGCTGCTTGTGTTGGTGGCTCTAATATCTGCACCTTATGAGCCCCTGGAGCAGTCCTCATTGAAAATGCTATCTCTTGAACAGCCCTGCGCCTTGCTCTCACCTCTGCTAAGAAGGTGAGTGAGCTGTGTGCCTGTCTGTTCACCCCAGCTGCATGCTGGTTCTTGGTGTCCACAGTGCAGCTGGATTGAGACAACACACCTCCTTTGTTCTTAAGAACATAAGGAGCATATTCAGGCCCAGGACAATACATCTGGATGCTTTTTACCCCCCTACCCCACTGAGGGTGCAGGGAGGTGAGAGTGCATCTGTTGTGTCCATGTGTGCGAGGCTAACGTCCTATGTAGAGCACACAGCCCCCATTCGATGCACTGGTCAGCTGTTCTTCTGTTTCAGTGCAGTCAGTAAAACCCTGTCCAAGAAGAGCCTGGCCAGCTGGCTTTATGAGTGAATCTCCCAAGCCTGTACACGGGCAGGACCCTTAGTGGTGCGTGCATATTCCTCTCGGAAGTGTGGAAGTGTCTACGACCCTTTTTCAGTGGGGTGTGTGTCAAAGAGATCTGCACAATGGCATCTTGGCCCTTACTGTGCCCGTTTGTGCGTTTCTATCTCTTGGATATGTCGGGATCCAGCTTGCAAGTGCGACCTAGGATCTGAAAACTGAAGATCTGGTGACTACTGGGTGTAGAGGGGGAACATACACTGGCAGTGCCTGACGTTTCAGTGAGAAGTCAGGGCAGTGCAGGTGTTAATGGTCAGGTCAAGCCCCTATCGGTCCTGCGACCTTCTCAGGGGTGTCCCATCATTCTGTCACTAGGTGATGTGGTGGTCGGCGCTTTGGCCAGCCTGTGGCCGACCGGGCTGGTGTGGTGGACTTTGGCTAGTCGTGGCTAGGGCGGACAGTCATCGGGCTCCACCCACTGCACCCAGTGCGTGTGTTTGATTGGAGGAGGTAGTACCAATAGAGTCCAGTAGAGGGCTCCGCCTGTGCTTATAGAACTAGGGTTACCATATCGTAACCTTCGTTACGGACTGTCCGGGAAATGCATATCAAGGTTAAAGCCCCAAAGTGAAATATATATGTTACCCAAGTGAGTTTACAATTACTCAAACTTCATTGTTCATATAGAAGTGAGAACATCCCTAGGAAGAGGGGGGCAATCTGTGTTGTTTTCAACCCATGCATTCACAGACTTACTGGGTCACATCCATGGAAGTGTATTATATGGTACTACACTTACGAGTCATTAGGTCAGATATCTTTAACTTTAAAACCCTTTCATACATGAATTATAACAGCTTCTTTCAGGATTTTTCAGGATGTGTTTTTATTGCTCTTTAGGCAGGAAAAACAAAATTTGAATTTCATTTTTTTAAACACACATTTTTCGAGGAGTTTTTTACATGTCCACTAAGGTGGACAGCGTGCACTTTAGAATTTAGTAAACCAATTAATTAAATTACAATTACTCAAACTTCATTGTTCATATAGAAGTGAGAACATCCCTAGGAAGAGGGGGGCAATCTGTGTTGTTTTCAACCCATGCATTCACAGACTTACTGGGTCACATCCATGGAAGTGTATTATATGGTACTACACTTACGAGTCATTAGGTCAGATATCTTTAACTTTAAAACCCTTTCATACATGAATTATAACAGCTTCTTTCAGGATTTTTCAGGATGTGTTTTTATTGCTCTTTAGGCAGGAAAAACAAAATTTGAATTTCATTTTTTTAAACACACATTTTTCGAGGAGTTTTTTACATGTCCACTAAGGTGGACAGCGTGCACTTTAGAATTTAGTAAACCAATTAATTAAATTATATAGTGTGTGCAAACTATATTTTTAATGCTTTTAAACTAATGTGGTCACACATTTTAATTCTAATACTGCTTAATGCAATGCAAAAATCAGCTCCACTATCACTGCTGCTAGCATTTGGTAATTCCTCTATTTCTGGCAGCCATTCATCATCACTGCCACTAGCATTATCCTTACTTGATTCTGACGGAATTTGCTCCACTTTCCTGAAGGCCTTTCTATTACTCACTGCACTTAAGCTCTACAAAACAAAAACACACTAAATGTTACTCACATAATGGAACTAAGCAGCACAAAATATTGTTTTTGCGACAAAAACTGCAAGTTTTACATTCTGATAAATGAATCAATTGATTTACATCCAAAAGAGTTGTTGCACGTGAAATAATTTCAAGAAAAACAAAGTCTCATTAGTTAACTGGAATTGAAATATAGCCAGCGATGCAAAAGGTCCAATTTAGTGGACAGATGATTATTAGTAATTTCCTCCCAACAAAAAATCAATACTTGGATTGTCCATCAGCCATCTTGGTTTTGACAAATTTGAGTTGCGCTTACAACTGCTTACCAGAGGGTAGCAGTGTATGGTATAACACATCAGTGTCCACTGTAGTGACCACTGTGCATGAAAGGGTTAAGGTCAATTAGAAAGTACTGTAACAACACCGGGAAAAATATAAATAAAATTTAAAAAAACAATAATAATATATATATATGTGTGTGTGTGTGTGTGTATATATATATGTATGTATATATATCAAATGGGAAGCTCACTCAAATTTTAAAAAAGACCTACAGACCTACTTCTCATATCCTCCTCATGTTGTCTGATCGTTTAGAGAATTTTGTTCTTATCTGCTGAGGTCTTGCTGTCTCTGAAACAGCAATTAAGGGAATGAGGGTGAATGAAATTGTGTTTGACACTTGAACATTGACATTTGAAAAACCTAACAGCATGAAATCTTTCAAAGAACAATAAACTGTATAAACTGTAAATAGCATTTGTTTGAGGGCACTAAAATCTGTACAATACAGACAAAACAGACAAATGTACTGAGCTAGTCTAACACTTGCTTCAATATTACTTTTCAGATTCTGTCACATGTGTGAGATGCCACCCTGAGTTCTGGTCCAATGAGAAAAGAGATACCTGTGTAAAGAAGGAGGCAGAGTTTCTATCATATGAAGACATTATGGGAGCACTGCTAACTGCAGCCTCCTTATTTGGAACATGCATGACTGCTGTTGTGGCAATTATTTTCTTCAGATACAGGCAGACTCCTATTGTTAGGGCCAACAACTCTGAGCTGAGCTTCCTGCTGCTCTTCTCCTTGACCCTGTGTTTCCTGTGTTCTCTGACCTTCATCGGTCGGCCCTCTGAGTGGTCCTGCATGCTGCGACACACAGCATTCGGCATCACCTTTGTCCTCTGTATCTCTTGTGTTCTGGGGAAAACAATAGCGGTGTTAATGGCCTTCAGGGCCACACTTCCAGGAAGTAATGTGATGAAATGGTTTGGGCCTGCACAGCAGAAGCTCAGTGTTCTGGGTTTCACTCTCATACAAGTCATCATATGTATCCTCTGGTTAACAATTTCTCCTCCTTTTCCATTTAAGAATTTTAAGGGGTTTAAGGACAAAATCATCTTAGAGTGTGCTCTGGGCTCAGCTGTAGGCTTTTGGGCTGTACTTGGTTACATAGGACTTCTGGCCATTTTATGTTTTATTCTTGCTTTTCTGGCTCGAAAACTGCCTGATAATTTCAATGAAGCCAAATTTATCACCTTTAGCATGCTGATATTCTGCGCAGTATGGATCACTTTTATCCCAGCATATGTCAGCTCTCCAGGGAAGTTCAGTGTTGCTGTGGAGATATTTGCTATTCTGGCTTCAAGTTTTGGACTGCTCATTAGTATTTTTATTCCAAAATGTTATATTATTTTACTGAAACCAGGGAAGAATACAAAAAAGAATATGATGGGAAAAGGGGCAACAAAGTCATTCTGAAACTTCAAATAATATGCTGGCAAATGCATTCTATTGCCATTAAAATTTTGATTTAGCAGTCTGTTAACCAGACTGTAAAGTAGACATTAATATATAGTTTATTGAAGATTTGCATTGTAGTGCTGTAGTGTTTTTCCACGGTTTATCATTTATTTTGTGATATTGCACGTTGACATGACAGTATTTAATAAAATGTAATATACAACCATAAAGATCAATACAAATATAGTAGAAATAAATGGACAAGCCTGTTACCAATTCTTTACTGATTTCACAACATTTAATATAGTTTATAAAATTGTAAACAAAGAATAAAATCCCCAGTTGTCTTTGGTTTAACTTGTTTGATTTCCTTTGATCACTTGAGAATTTAATTCAGCCATAACAACTCCCCCCTTGTTGTTCATGTATAAACCTCTTGCATGTACTGTAGAGTTGATTGGCCTGGTTAAAAGAGTAGAACTATTGTTGTTGAGGCAGCTCCTCTCGGTTCTACTATGGGAAAGTGAGTCTCTGTGTAGAGTGCACAACCAGCTGAACTGGCCCAAAATGGCAAACTTGTTATTGGAGGCATTTCTTCATTTTGCACAGGACAGGATTATGTAATTAATTAAAACATTTCAGACAACTCCAGAAGTACAAAAATGCAACAAGTATGTATTGCATGGCCTACATATTTTATAAGGTTTATGGGCATTTTGTACTGTATGTGAGACATTACCATGACTACATCGTATTTCATTCTTTCACGTAAAAACACACCTACCCATCTCCAAACAAAGTTAGCAACCAGATGGTGAACTTAGAGTTGGTGGGGACCAAAACAGAGCACTCAAGATAGTGAATATTGGATTTGCATTCATCAGGTGGACACAAACATGACTCCAAACAATTGCTTATATTGCTCTGTGTCAGCTTGAAGTGTACATAATCTAACACATGACAGCTATATCAACTTTCTAAGGTGATTATGTTGTGTTTACAGCTTGTTGCACTGCCCACTAAGTAGCCCCAAAAACAAAATAGATTAGTTAATGCATTTTAACGGGACTTTGTGGTTGTGGGGAATTCCTTATAAGTCTAATTTTCTCAACTTTATATCACCTACATCCTGCATTTTATTTAAGTGTCTAAACTGCAATTATGAATTGTGCCTCCATCATGTTAAAATCTTACTGTCAAGAGGGTAAACATTTTGTACAGCACAACTGAATATGATTATTTGATAACATATACTGTTAAGATTTGAAAATCGAACAAGGCCCTTAATTATTTTTTATTTTTTGTTTGTGCACCTCCCTTCCCTTGCCTCACCTTGCAGGTCCACAGAGATAAAAGATCACTGTTCTACTGCTATTTTTAAATGCTGCTCCAAAATGTATAAATACCAGTGCAAAGTTTTGATTTAAATTAAGGTTCACATGATGCCACCCAGTGGTTTAGCTCTCATCGACAGTATGACATACACACAGAGGTGGCCAGAGCAGGGTTGGGCACTCTTACAGCTGTTGATGTTGGCGTCTCTCTCTCAGGCTGAGGAGCGAGTGTGCACACGACGAGGTGATCCTGAAAACCCCCAGCTATCTAAAAATGGGGACATTATGTTAGGGGGAATCTTCTCTTTCCACAGCAGCTGGAAAGACAGACAGGATATCTACATGCACAAACCACCGCCACTGCAATGCACCAGGTAAATTATACCACATACATTTTCTTAGATTTAAAATACCTAAGAGAAAGTGGGTACAGATGCAAAACACATACAAAAAAAAACTGAATCAAAAACAAACTGAATATTAAAATAAGAAATATTCCACGATGTGTGTATTAATACCATTAAAAGTTTTTATTGACTGTGGTATTTTTCTATTTCAAGTGAAAAGTATTTGCAGTTCTAACTATTTATCTCCATCTGCATCAAGCTTGAATTTGAGAGGGTTCCAGTATGCCCAGGCTATGCTCTTTGCCATAGAGGAGATTAATAACAGCACATACCTACTGCCTGGCATTTCTCTGGGCTATAAGATCTATGATGCCTGTAGCTCCATTGCCAGAGGTGTGAGGGTTGCACTGGCCTTGGCTAATGGTAATGAAGTGGTGTCTGCATCCTCCGTGGCACCATGTACCAGACCTGCCCAAGTGCAGGCCATTATGGGAGAGACCTCCTCTTCTCCTTGCATGGCTATAGCTACTGTCATCGGACCCTTTCACATCCCACTGGTGGGTAAAATTGATAAAAACTGAATTATTTTAGTTAAAATTAATTATTATTCAGTAATTCTTCCAGCTGGTCATAGCAAAGGGGGTTTAACATAATTGTAGTGTGCAGTGGAAATGTTTTATATTTTACATACAGTATCTCGTGGTGTAATTTCATTTGTCTTTTAGATCAGCCACTTTGCTACTTGTGCTTGTCTCAGCGATAAAACCAAGTACCCATCCTTCCTCAGAACAATACCCAGTGACTACTACCAGAGCAGAGCCCTGGCACAGTTGGTCAAGCACTTTGGCTGGACTTGGGTTGGAGCCATTAGAACAAATGATGATTATGGCAATAACGGCATGGCCACATTCACAGAAACTGCCCAGCAGCTGGGCATCTGTTTAGAGTATTCTGTGTCTTTCTTGAGAACAGATCCACCAGACAAAATACTAAAGATAGTTGACATTATCAAGTCTTCCACTTCCAATGTGATTGTTGCTTTCCTCTCCCACAAGGATATGGATGTGCTAATACAGGAGTTGTCCGGCTACAACTTGACTGGGTACCAGTGGGTAGGCAGTGAGAGTTGGATCTTTGATTCCCAAACTGCAGCCATGGATAGGCATCACATTCTGGATGGTGCCATAGGCCTGTCCATCCCCAAAGCACATGTCAGTGGCATGAGAGAGTTCATGTTGGATGTGAGGCCGCTCAATTCATCTAGTAATGAAATGTTTACAGAGTTTTGGGAGGCATTATTTAGCTGTAAGTTCAACCAGTCAGGGAATCAGAGAGAATGTACTGGACATGAAGATCTGAGAGGAGTGCAAAACAGCTTCACTTATATGTCACTCATGCCTATCTTTAACAACATCTATAAAGGAGTGTATGCTGTTGCCCACGCACTTCATAGTATTCTCAACTGTGACAAAACATGTAACAACACAGTGCAGCTAGATCCATTCATGGTGAGTTGAACACAACAGACTGAAATTATAGTTTTTACGTTAAGTTATATTTACAGGAAAGGAAATTGTTTTTATTTTGAAAATAGAAAATAGAAATCGAAAATTGTTGAGTTAACATGTCTACAAAATGTTTGTCAGATAATGATCTACATATCTTCTTAGATTTTACAGCACATAAGAAAGATACAGTTCAAAACGAAGGATGGAGATGAGGTTTACTTTAATGAGAATGGAGACCCAGCAGCAAAGTATGAAATTATAAACTGGCAGCCAACAGAAAATGGCATTGTGGACTTTGTCACAGTCGGTGTTCATGATGCATCTTTGCCTTCAGAGATACAGCTGAATCTGCAAAATAATTCTTTCATTTGGGCACAGAACTCAAAAGAGGTAAGCTACCATGTGATTAACGTAACTGTATAATTGATTAGTCATTGTTAGTGGACAATCGCACTATTTGGTTTCCATACATTAAAATTAATAATAGATGCTTGTAAAAACAACCCCTTGTCAAAGCAAATGCCCATACACTTTTCTAATAGTTATTTTATTCATGCAGGTGCCTTTGTCAGTTTGCAGTAAGAAATGTCCCCCAGGAACTCGTAAGGTTCTCCAGAAAGGAAAGCCTGTTTGCTGCTATGACTGTTTAAGATGCGCAGAGGGAGAAATAAGCAACATTACAGGTGTAGAAATATTTAATGTAAGACCAAACCAAAGTCAAAAAAGGTGTCATGTTCACATAGGCTATCAATTTTAAGAAATGGTATAGTTTTGTAATTTGATTCTAAAGCATGGGGTGTTGTGATTTGATAGTAATCATTTAGTGATTTAAACAAACCATTTAAAATCAAGTCTTTAAATATCCTAAATAAATACTGATACATAAGTCTGAAATCGGTCACATAACTCTTAAAAAAATCTTGGAATTGCTTATCAAGGTTAATGCCCTAATATGAAAAAGATGTGCAGCTCAACTAGTTTTAAAATTACATCAATTCCATTGCTTATTGAAAAATGAGAAATATGGCTTTCATAAAGTTATCCATTTACTGTCTGTTAATCATTGCCTGTCTTATAATCATAGAAAAGATTTAACATTGAGACACAAAAAATACAAATGTACTGAGCTAGCTAACACTTGCTTCAATATTACTTTTCAGATTCTGTCACATGTGTGAGATGCCACCCTGAGTTTTGGTCCAATGAGAAAAGAGATGCCTGTGTAAAGAAGGAGTCAGAGTTTCTATCATATGAAGAGATTATGGGAGCACTGCTCACTGCAACCTCCCTATTTGGAACATGCATGACTGCTGTTGTGGCAATTATTTTCTTCAGATACAGGCAGACTCCTATTGTCAGGGCCAACAACTCTGAGCTGAGCTTCTTGCTACTTTTCTCCTTGACCCTGTGTTTCCTGTGTTCTCTGACCTTCATCGGTCGGCCCTCTGAGTGGTCCTGCATGCTGCGACACACAGCATTCGGCATCACCTTTGTCCTCTGTATCTCTTGTGTTCTGGGGAAAACAATAGTGGTGCTAATGGCTTTCAGGGCCACACTTCCAGGTAGTAATGTGATGAAATGGTTTGGTCCTGCACAGCAGAAGCTCAGTGTTCTGGGTTTCACTCTCATACAAGTCATCATATGTCTCCTCTGGTTAACAATTTCTCCTCCTTTTCCATTTAAGAATTTTAAGGGATTTAAGGACAAAATCATCTTAGAGTGTGCTCTGGGCTCAGCTGTAGGCTTTTGGGCTGTACTTGGTTACATAGGACTTCTGGCCATTTTATGTTTTATTCTTGCTTTTCTGGCTCGAAAACTGCCTGATAATT